ATCGGACACTGGTGATGATATTGGACATTGCTGTCAAAAATCGGACAATAGTGTCCATAGGCTCGATCTGAAATTGGACCCTTGTATCTAAAATCAGACACTGCCATTTGAAATCGGAAAGTAATGTTCAAAATCAGACGGTAGCAAATGTAGTAACAAATTAACTTTGAATCTTTCCAAAACTAAATATATCATATCTATACATCGGTAAAAGAAAAATCAAAATCTATATCTACTATTGAATATAACAATTATCTGTCTCTTTCTCCTCTTATTTATCCAAAATCGGACCGTACTAGTTTCCAAAATTTGACACTGTTATCTAAATATTTTATGGTATGTACATTTTTTTCATGGCATGTAAATATTTCATGTCTGTATAATGTGTTTTAAAGTATAAATCTAAAAGCGTTTGCAATGTCAACAAAAAAGGGGACGTGGCCGTCTTGGCCTTGTCTTTTTCTTCAATGTTTTCTCTCCTTCTCGCAAGATCTTTTATGGAGCGTGGCTTTGTAACCGTGCCTCTATCGCTTTCTACAGTCACAGTTAAAACAAAGGTTCTAGCATATCTAAAAGTGCATAATCTGTTAAGCCTTGAATAGAGATCTAGAGATTCTTTATCTTTTAATAATTCAGGCGAAGTGCCTGCCAGCAAGTTTCTATCAAATCAGGAAAACTGCACTGAAACTGTTATTCACTGCTTATTCTAGCTTTCAAGTCTAACGGCTTAAAATAGCTTATTACCACTACAGTACAACTTCCTGTATTCAGTTTCCAAAATACTGGAATTAACCCTTGTGACTCAGAGTACTTTCAGATTTGGAAACTCCCACTCCCCCTTGACCATTTCCTGTGCGCGATCATCGAAGCTTTCCATATTCGGTTAGAATGCTGAAAGCATAAATCTTTGAAGATACTTCATTAATTGAAAGGAATATTTGGAAGCCAGATACGTTACAGCCATTGGAGTTGTGCGAGCGCTGAGTTTTTCAGCTTGGGCTTATGCCAAAAACATAATTTACTTGAGAAAATATCCGTTATTTTCACATTATTTTTATTATTTCTTTTATATTACGTTTCTCCGGAAGTTTAGTAATTCAGTCTTGTTTAGTAAGAGCCCTCTATCTGACCCACCGTTTTAGGGATGATGTGTTTATCGTTTCGAAGTGAGAGGGAGATTTTTTTTTTCCTCATAATTCGCGGCTTATCTGTTCGGGGTGACACTTTAAGATTATTGTCCCAAGTAACCAACATCATCTGTCATTAATTTATCAGCCAATCAGAGGAACGCGAAACAAGTTGGGCGCACGTGCAACCTGACACCACGTGGCATACTTTGATTTCTCCGCCTTTCTAGATCATGGCTCGTTTTTCATTGGTCGAGACAGAAAAAAAAAACAATTTTTCATTGGTTTTTCATAGGTTAAACAGAAAAAAAAAAGAAAAAACAATAGCCAAGCTTCCACGATTAAGTTCTTTTTTATTTGCTTTTATTAAACATGTAGATAAAACAATGTACATATAAATTTGCGCTTTGTGGCACAAGGAAATTCATGAAAGATGTACACATCGATTTTGTATTTCGCTTAGATTATTTTGTGATAAACAAAACCCACGTTTTGAATTTGTAACGCTTTGTTAAAAGCGACGCATAAATGGTAAACTAATTAAGCCATTTACGCGGAAGAAATTTTCTAAGTTTTGAACAGGGCAGGAACTAGAACATGCGACAGACTTTCAAGCCAGACCTCTAGTATTGGCTTCAGTGTAAAAATAACCACGACGACAAGCGGACATTCGCATAAATTAACAACCTCTCTGAGATAAACGAATTTAGTGAATATCATTGCTCAAACCTTTGAGCTAAATCACGATTTTGTATTTGCTGGCGAATGACTGTTTGAAGTTCTCCGCTTCAAATTTTGTTCATACGCCGTACATATATATATATATATATATTTTTTTTTTTTCGTAAATTAATGCACCCTTTGCGGTCAGGCCGCAAGGGTTATTAATCAAAACTTCATGAAATAAGGCCTTGACATGAGGGAATATGCCGTGAAGTTTTAACACACAGACAAAAATGAACAGAACTAGAAACCGCGTCATGGTTGAAAGCTATGTCAACATCAGAACCTTCGGTTCTCAGATTAATATTGGGCAATATTTATGGTTGTTAGAATTAAATTTGTAAACTTATGAGTTTTTTCATAGCTTTTTCGATCTTTTGAGTGCAAATCAATTCATATGAAAGACGGAGCAGATGTACATCACGAAAACAGTGGCTAAAAATATCTTCTGATTTTTGTGTGTTGTTTGATTCAGTTTTAACTCTGTTGATTTTCCGCAAAATGCTTGCTTTTGTTGCTAAGGAAACACAAAATATTGAACGGATACAATACAGAATTCATGCTTTTCTAATATAACCCAAATTTTTCGTAAAAAGGCTCTTGCATGTTTGAGATATTTTCACGAAATTTCTTAAAAACGCTTTATTTGAGCGCCATAGTTACGTGGTACGTTATCCGTTCCACTCTAATACATTTTCAAAGGAGTCCATTGAAACTTCACTGTTACAAGTAACGACATTTTTATATCTAGTGTTTCAAATTCAGTTACTCCTACTTAAAGTTTATGGAGGGAACGAATTGTTATATATGCGACAAAGATAAACCATTGGCGATTTTTTTTTGGTAACGATTTTCGACAGCTGTGAGACCAAATAAAAACAGAACTTCCCGTGAAAACACAATTGAAGAATTCAATCCATGTTATGTTGCTTTCATTTCCAGCTGAGAAGAAAACAGAAGACACGAATGTGCTTTTAATGAATGAAAGAACTTTGACAATTTGCTGTCACCCGTTCTTCTTAGAGCAGGTGTTGCTTTATTGTTTATTCCTCCAGATAACGTGGTTTTATTCTTGTCCACTAGTCTCAGTTTTTAGTAATGCTTCCGGCACGATGAAAGCCCAGACCAAGGTTTTAAAAGCGCATGTAATGCGTCCACTTTGCGTTAAATGCGACCACATTGTGAAGGGAAAATGCACTTTGTTTAAGACGAAGTCCACACATTTTGCGTCAACATTTTTGAGGTGCGATTCAATTATGACTGAAATGTTTACCCATAGCAACTCCGCGCTTCGCCTGCCTTAGATTACATGCTAATGATGGAAAATTCATGATTTGATTATGCTCAAGCACTGTGCATTAATTAAGAAGAAAATGTCTCTGAAATTCTGAAACAGTTTTAGCTCGAATCAGGAATTACTGAAACGACGCGAACGAACCCTATACACAAATGTACTTCCGCAGATTTGTCACAAAACTCTTGTAGATGTCATTTTGATTCACAATTCAAGGAACACTTCGAAAGCATGGCTTCATCAGTGAAATTACGGTGTTATTAAGCTTCCTAGCTACTTCATTTCTTAATTCTCGCGTTTTCTGTGGCGTCGTTTGATAGCGTCACTACGAAAGCGGTCAAATATTGCAGCACTTAAATATAGCGTGGCCATGTTGTGAAGCGAATACTCCTAATGTGTTTTCTCGATTCTCTCCAATCACGCGCCAAAGAATTTAAATTCTACTAAATGTATGTGAAATTTTTAATTTCTAGAAAGCATAATTTTTGGTTTCCTTCAGATGCCCTCAGGGCTATTTCCAACTGTGTTATTTTGTTGATTAAAACGATTCAGTTCTTGTAATGGCGGGTAGAGTGGTGACGCTTAACCCATTATGGACCAAGAAAAGAAAACCCTTTAAAAAAAGAAACCTCATGAGATATAAGAAGACATTGGAATAAATCACGCAAATTTAAACGGAAAATCTATGTTAGTTTTCTTAGCTAATCTTTTATACAAATGATGTTATCTATACCGCTTCCCCCGTAGTTTGAATTTCATGAATTTCAGCAAAAGCTATTAAGCCTTGTTTGATTCAGTTTTTGAGTTTACCGTTCCTAGTTACGCTAAATTAACCATGTTGAACAAATATTGAATTTTTATTTACAGAATGACTTTTCGCCCTTTTCCAACTCGATATACGTACTGGAAATAAAATATTTCCTTCCCATTCTGTTCAAAACGATGCCTATTATGTACTGAAACTGGAGCAAAGATCAATTTTTATTTCACTTTAGAGCGCTCTTAAAAATTAAAATCACATTTTCTACTGAACAGATCAGGAGCCGAGAACTTTCAACAAATCCCCAACTTCACTTCTCTTAAATTATTAATCTAGTTTGTCAGGACTAAAATACAAAGTTAAGTCTTTCGGCAAACAGCTTCAAAAGCGAAACTGAGAACAAACAATTGATTTTAACGGCGAAAAAACATTGCCTGGAAACAGAAGTTGAGGTTAAATTTTGTTTCCAATTTACCGCCGCCATGGAAACTTCGATGACGATAGCTATCTACTTGTAGGTTTTCAAAACAACTCTGACTTATACCTTAATGCTACCAAAACCACTTTTAGATTGAAAAATGATTCGAATATTATTTTGTATTTCCGTTTCGCTTTTCAAGGGAAGAAAGTGACGTCTCCGTCATGTGGAGAAAAATATCTAACTGCGTAAAGAAGTTGACTAATGTTCAATGCATGCGTAGCTCGTAAGCATAATTTGGGTAGATCTCATGAAAAATGCAAAACTTTGAAGTGCGTGCAAAATAATTGACAATACTCAAACCATATTGGCTTATTGGCGCTTAGCATTTATCAAATTACACCAGAGTCACAAACTTCTGAGAAATTTCAACGGCTTGGCACTAATCTAGTGCCGCCTATGGACGCAATAAAGTTTCTCGTTCTACCTTATGCTTACGAACTAATATCTTAAACGACATTGTAAAACAACCTCTGTGGTCCGTGTTATTGTCTTTAGCTGTCAAAAGCCAGAGGTGGTATTTCAACTAAGAATGATTTGTTTTGTTTTTCGGCTCAAACGGCGCGCAAAACTATTATCATTTCGAAAATCTTTCAAAAAAATCAAGGACGGTTCAAAAAACATAACCGTCTGTTTTTGTTTTAAAAGCACAGAAAAAGTATTCAGGGCATTTATAATACGTATTTTTATTATTGGGAATGAAAATAGAATATTAGCTCTCGACGAAACATTGGCCGGTATAAATTAGTGGTTTTCAAGTAGGTTATATCGGCTAAAATGAAACTTTGCATTTGGCGGCAAAGAGGTTCAGACGCTTGTTACTATAGAAACTGGTCTCATGGCTTGACGTTACCTTGGTTACTAGCCCTCCTGTTCTAGGTCCCTTCAGTGCCTCTTCATCATTTCATTTCCTTTTACTACCAATGTGAGTGTCTTACTGCGATCGACTCCTGCCCAAGGGTACTCTTACCAAAGCTGCCTTGTTTCGGCGCCAAAGGTTGGGTTTAATCACTTTGCTGGTAAGGATTTTCGAGGTAAGCGTTCGAAATTTTCTCTCGCGTTCGCGATGTCGTCATTCTTCGAACGAACGAATTGTTGGTTGTTGCTCATGTGTTGAACCGTTTGTCAACAAATTGTCCTTTCCCTGGTTTGTTTCAGCATCCTTTTGCACAACTATTGAGGTCAAGAAATAGAAGAAATCCATAAAGATGAACTGAAGACTTTAACTAGCAAATTTAATGTGAGTGCTTTCATATTATGGTCATATGATCTTTTTAGTTTCGCACTATCTCAAAATCCACGTTGCGTAGAGCGCCAGATTAGACCTTTGTCGCAAACCCCGGCCTTATGAATTCCGATTCACATCCTTTGCCTGCTTGTAGCATTTTTTTCCAGAAGCATCTTCGATGTTGACGATCATTTCAGGTGAGAGGCATTCGCGATAGTACCGCTACGATAGTCGAGGACAAACAGTTTTTGTTCAAACCCTCCATGTTTCAATGTCTTAGTATGAAGCAGTGAAAAGTTATCGGTGTAGTGAATCAGGACTTTACTAAAAGTCAAACACCAGACTCCGATGAATTCCGATTAACTGCAAAGTCATGTCAACATGTGAATTTTATTTGTAATAAATATCCTTTACGACACGTGTTTTACCCGAGCACATTGCACGATCGTTGAAAGCATATTACAACAATATGAAATATTTCTCTGACTCGAATAATTCCTATTTCGGTTTCGTTGCTGAAATACTCTTATATGCTTCGAGTCTTAAAGCAGCAGAGGTTCTGCTAAAAGGCGGCTCATGTCGTGGTTTCTTTTGCAGAATTAGCCAGGATGTCCTTTGGGACCGAAGTTTTATTCTTCTCGGAAATAGTAAATTGTGTGCATTCTATTAGATGTGATTGCAATATATATGAAATCATGAAAGGAGTCATTCGACCGGATTTATTCGCAAGTAAGACCCCAATTCTGCAATTGAAGTTGGCGAGAAAGTCTAGTTATCTGCAGTGGTTTCGGAAGGCCTACATAAGTGCTTTTCAAGCATCGTTTCTTTGTGAGGCCTTTGTGTTTCGCATCATAAAATTTCAATATATTATTAAATCGGCCGCATGGCACTGCGCTGTTTTTGTTGATAGATAGTTACAGGTACTTGTTCTCGATGTTTCGTCGACTTACGAGACTTTGATTTGAGGTTTATATGGCCCTTTTTGTTGTGTAACGATTTCATACGAGTCGACTGTTGTCAATGTCATATGTAATTTCTGGAGTTTTGCCCTGAGCGTTACCTTGTTCTCGGAAAATGAAAAGTACGAATAAATAAATTATAAACCATGTTTTTCAGTGTGAAGGAAGTTGACTAGCTTTTAAAGTGTTACTGTCCGAAAATGTTGTGCTATGGAAAATTCCTTCAAAGCCATGATTGCATTCTGTTCCACATCTGTGGCGGAAAAGCCGCCTTGAACACTACTGCGAATGATGTTTTCGTAATTCAATCTAGCATGGTGTGTTTTTTAATTTCTCGATACATGTAGCTTGTGGATCTGGCTATTGTTTTGAATAGATTTTAAAAAGTACTAGAACAATATCGACCAATTAATTTATCCCAAAAACATGCAGTGGCATAACTGTTCTGTGTCATTCTAAAACGATGAACGTTGCCGTTTTTCTGTGTGAAGTACGTTCGTGCGCCAGGCGGTTTGCATTCGGCTTTTAATCACAGTCGTGAGGAAATCCTTTTCGCCCCCTATGCCCCCACCTATTTTTTAAAATTCACAGTAATTTTCTTGCAACCTAAGAGAACAAAGATTAAGTTTCTTGGTAACGGGGGATGCAGAAAGTTTGTTTTCGGGAAAAAAAATCTTTACCTCAAGAGACAACTTTTTGTTCAATTTTATGCGTGTTGGAATTCTATTTTCTTTTTTTAATCACTAAAATTATGGTAATTTTTTGCGTCAGCATGTTACTTGCTTTTCATATGGTCAGAGATGGCTGAGGGATAACATAAAGCCAAAACGCTTTTTTGCATTTACAAATAAAGTTCATTATTTTCTCGCGACAGTAAAAATAAAATTTGTTGAAACCTTGTGCAAACTTGGCTTTCGAAGTTGTTGACAGAGCAAACACAGGCTTTTGAAGTAAAGAATCTGCTGTGGCACATAAATGAAACAAACTGCCTTGAAACATGAAATAATTCAAGCCAATTTATAATAGTAAAATGACCTGACCAATCCAATCAGAGCTGCAAAATTAGCTTGAAATCTAGCTGGTTCTAATTGTTTTTGTTGTTAAATAGTAGTTGTGTGATTAAATTATGTTTTGACCACATTTCTTTGTTTTCACTTATTCACATTCATGAACAAAAAATAGCTTAGTAATTATTATGCTTGCTGAAATGTTTGACTATGACAGAGTGCCTTTTCAAAGGAAGTTAAAATCTCTGAGATTATTTCAGTTTCAAGAAAACACTTTCCTCTGACACCAACTCTATTTGAAACACAAAATAATGCAAATAATGTTTCTGATCTATTCAAAATATTTTCAATTTCCAACATGTTGAACCCCAGCCAAAGTAGAAAATGCTTCCCATTAATATTAAATTGGCTGTGTTTCATGCTAATTTGTACCATTTTATCAAATGAAAATTTATAAGTGAACGCGAGGTTTTCAAGTTTGTCCCAGGTGACAGTTTTCACCACACTGTTGCCATAGTGATAAACCACTGCCCATAAACAGATGGGGTTAGGCCCTAGGAAACATTTATTTTTTGAATCCTTTGATATGGGTCTTGTCATGGGATAAAGTATGACTCTGTAAGTTTAGATTGCAATCTCCCCCTCAGGTGGTGATAGCTTTTATCTGAATCATCTGGGCTACGAATCAGATGAATGAGATCTAGGATATCTTCACCGTCATAATTTTGTCTCCTGCTGATGTGGAATTCACTGTGGGTTTCTCCAGATTAAATCTTTCACTGTGGAACTTATCACATGCTTTGTGTGAGGAGAGAGTCAACAGAAATTTTATTTTAAAAATCTTATGGCAATTTCGGAACAAACTTTGGTAAATACCTTGCTTTACTTACTAATAATTCATGGGTTTGATTTCATGAGATAAAATCAATATAAGTCTGCATGACAGAAAGCTTCTCACAACAGAGCTTATTCCAGTCTTCGAAGCCCAAAGTATCTAGGGATAAAGATTCTCTTCTCTGCAAAGAATTCTAATCTTTTGCAAGTTTCCTCTTATAATTTGGGGATACTCTTTGTAAATCCTTGACAGAGCAAGCCATTGCCTTGCCCCTTTAAATCCTAAGAGTGGCCAGCATCCATTTTTGCCAAACCATAATGCTGCTGAATCATTCATTAAGATCTTGAGAATAAAGGAAATGGTTGGCAATCTAAGAAGCTTTAATTGTTAAACAAATTCTTCTAGTCAACACTTTTAGCTAGTAAATGTATTCAAAACAGTATGGAGAATATACATACTGATGTTAGGTTGTTGAGGGTTAAACCATGTCACCGGATAGTCTCTATGTTCCTCAACCTTTCCTGATGTCAAGTTTCATTTAGATTCACAGAGTTTTAAGTAATGCTAACTTTCACTAAGAAGTGGATTTTTCCAGACATCTTTGGATATATTCTTGCACTCACTTAACCCATTAACGGCCACAGCTTTTGTGGAAAACTGTGTTTTGAAGCTAGTCCAGCAGATTTCGGGTCACTGTTGGGGTTTTAAAAGCTCGAACTTACCAAAAACCACTTGACAGCTCGTGCACTCGACGGCCTTTCGATCCAAATGCAAAATGGCGGCCTGAAAATCTCGGGCACGCACAGAGAGCAAAATTTGGACATAGTTTTTGGCTTGAAAAGTCACGCCCCACTTACGACTTCTACTTTTCTCTCTTTCTCCTGCCCTTTTTTTCCCCTCTCCTTGCCTAAAGTTTCTCCTCACTTGCTGGAAATTGAGTAGGCTTCATTTTGGTGTAGAGATTTTTCAGAAACTACTCATTATTTTCAAAGCACATGCTCGGAAAGGCAGGTGGGTAGTGAAACACGATCTTCGTGCAGATTTTCCAGTCAAAGTGACACGGTTTTTTGGCTATTTCTCCAATCTCCTCCACTCAATTGCGCTCATTCTGGTATCGTCTGCAAGATATTTTCAACCCGTTCAAGTACATGCTCGAATTCGTGCTCCAGAGTTAAGATTGATGACGTCACAGGGCGTAGAAAGGGTGTGGGTCCCCATGGGCGCATACGGGCGCACTGGACGTTAATGGGTTAAAATACACAGAGATGCTAACCTCTGGAAGTCTCACTTCTGGAGATTTTTTTTTTCAGACCAGCACCACCCCCCCTCCCCCCCCCTCAACCAAGTCAAGTTCACCAATGCCACCTCCTCCCCAGAAAATGTATTTTTTGATTTGGACCTCCTACCTCCCTCCCCCCATTTCCTTGAAATATGCACAGTGTAAATAAGCCATTATGTGGACCTTCAAGTATCAGTAAGCGCACCAAGCACTTTCGCACAAAAAATGTGGATCTCTCTGGGAGGGACTTCAATTGGTTGAAAACTCATCCATTCAGACTCTCGCTTATATAGGAGTAACAGAGTAGAAACTTGCTTCTTTTTGTTTGCAACAAACGATATGAATCATGCAAGAAAATGAAGCCAGAAACTGTAATACAAGCATAAGAAGCCAGATGATTTAGAATTTTGGAATATATGGAGCTTAAATCTTTAGTTTTTTGCGGGCAACTGATCCAAACTTCCTGTTATCTGGGAGTTTTGGTCACCCATACAGGAGAGCAGTAGATTGGCTCTATATCTTGGAGACTCGCAGATAATTCGTGAGATTTGGCATATAAGCATATGTGAAGAATTGTTTTTGAATTCAATCTGTTTTTGAAAGTCTTTGAATTTTTCTTTTAGTCTTAAGTGTTTTCTAAGAAGACTTTACAGGACCGTAAATCATCTTGAGTTCTCATCTGTATTTACTGAAAATGGTAATGGTCATGTGAGTTTACTTTGAAAATAACCTTTCTAAGGCAGGCAAGAAAGAGTGAGGGTTACATTTGATTTTAAGCTTCATGCCAAAAAAAGTAGCACACAATCACTTGAGGAAAAATGATTTCTGACTTGGAATTTATTTTGTGGTTAGATGCAGGTTTTGTACCAACAGAACTTTTTGATGGGTCTGAAACAATTGCCTGTTACTATTTCAGGTTACTTGATATCTTGTAGTGGCATGTTTTCATCATGTGACCATCACAGGTCAATTTCCTTTTGGTAGAGTTAGGTGTATGTTTATTTTTAAATGTTACCAAAAGATAACAAGGCTGTGCTCTAAGGAGAATTGAATGGAACCCATTGCTCTGAAACTGTGAAATCCAGGGTGCCCAGCATATGCTTTTTATGAAAAAGTTAAAATTCCTGAGTTGCACAAGAGCAAAATAAGGCAACAGGGGCCACCGGGTGCTGCTAGACCACAGCCTTAGATCAGAGCTACTGTATTAAAAGGCTGCATTATAGTCCTCTATTAAATTTTACTGCTAACATTGGGCAGTAATACATGTATGTATGGATTCTTGTCAAATAATTTACATGTGAGATAGGAAGGCAATTTAAAGTCACAGTTTTTAACAAGCAAGTGGTTTTTTTGTTTTTTTTTTACAAGCATTGACATTGTGCCAAAGGCTTGTGCTCTGTGTTCATGGAGTGAGGGACTCTAAACTATTGATGGATAACAATTCTTCAGACGACTCTGAGAATGATTTTGACTAAGGTTTTCAAAATGTCTTACATTACTTATGAGAACAGTTCTTCATAGGGCAAGAGGATTAGAAGACTTGATCAAATGTTACTCCTCCGTTCAAACCATTTACTGATTTAGGGTTTATACAAACATCACAGATGCTGTGAGAAAATGTTAAATTTTTGTTTTATAAGGTGTCTGCATTATGTAAGACCTGGAAGATAAATAATTTATTCAAACAAACTGAAGTATTTAAACATCTGATCTGCTGCAGCTGCTTTCACTAAATTTGTTTGGATTTATAACTACCCAGCAGAAGTTGCAAAAAGGATTTAGGGGATTAATTTGAGTGGACCATTTCATCTAAATCTGTTATGCATTAATCATATCTCTGTTTAGTCAAATGAATACAAAAATGAGGTAAGATTCTTCTAGAAGAACTCCAATGAGCTCAAAATAAGAGCCTCTAGAGTTTTGTGAAATATTCATTTGTGAAATAGTTTGTATTATAATGAAAATAGTTGTTTATAATAAACAAAATGCTTGAATGCTCAGTTAATGCTGGGGATAAAGAAGCTTATTACAGACTGAGAGAGATAGTGTTTCACGATAGACTCAAAGGCCGCATTGGTGAACAAACAAACACTTTTGGGGGCAGAGCAGAGTCATCTACTCTTGCACTAGAGGTGAATTGACAAATTGTTGAGAAATATTTATTTAGCTGAATATCTGGTTTTCATTGGAATCCAGCCATGTTGAATAATTTGACCTTAATTAACTAACAGCAGTTCTGGAACATGCCACGTTAAAATTTAATTAAGCAAAAGACATGCAAATGTCTATGCCTCTAAATTTGAATTTTGTTTTACTTATTTATTGCAATCTTCTCAAATATTTGTTTTGAATTTGCCAAGCTGCATCCGTTTGGAAAATTGCATGATATTTTGGATGTGAAATTCTATCTTATCTCATTGGCAAGACCAGATCAGCGGGAAATTGAGCTTGTAAAGCCCGTATCAATTACAATACTGTCTTACATGCGTAATCGTGTTTGCAGATGTCTGTCAGTTGTTTGTTCTTTGTTTCCACCAGAAGTCAAATTGTTATCAGTTGTGGCCAATTCTGAATGTATTCCCTTTTTCAAACTTCTTACTTTTGCTATAATTCAGTCTTAAAATGGGAGCTTACACTTTTCCTGGACATTAAGATTGTCATCATGGGCTGGTTTTTAGAGTATGGCAAGTACTTCTCAATTATTCAGAGGTACACAGTGCACAGCCAAATACCTATCACCTTCAAGATAAAACTGAGGGAAAACAGCAGTTTCACTTTGATGATAACAGTTCTCTGTTGTTGATACACCTCAATCCCAGAAGATGAATTTTAAAACCGGTTTGTGTACAAGGAACATGTTAAACAGACCACCTATGTATAATTCATCATTATGTTTGCAGAACCTCCATCTTTTTCCTGGATAACCATTCACCAGACCATGCAATGAAATAAAAGGGAGGAGACCACACACACACTTTTCTGAAAAAGCTATTGTATGACCTCAGGGTTCACCTCATCTTTGATTCTATTATAAAGCTAGTATTGGCCAAAATTAGGTGTTCATAACTCTCTAAAGCATGAGCGCTAGGTCACATATTTCTGCTTGTAATCAAAAACAAAAACTTAAAATATGGTTGTTTTTTTTTCTTTCTAGGAATTTTGCTTTGACTTTGCAAGACAAGGTTCTCTGAATGTTCTATTTTGTTTTTTTTTTTTAATGAATATCTCCTTTTTAAATTTCTTCGGCCTCTTTGAGAAAAAAAAATTGTATAATTAAGGTGAAGGTATCATAAACAGTTTTTTATTAGCTTTTTGACAATTAAAATGTAAATTGATGTTTTACTTGCAATTGGTCATTTTTAGAATTTGCCAGATGTTTCTCTCCTTGAATTTGCAATTCAAACTTTTCCTTTGTTTGGTCACAGTAATTGCTTTTATTTTAGCAGCTATCAGGGACAACTTTAGGACTAAATTCCCACCTAAACATGCCCTGAAGATCAAAAAAAGAAAATAAAATAGTTTGTTTTTAAACAGAACAGTTTGCATCAGCCCTAGCTGATGACTTTTCTTCCCTCCATTCATCAGTAGGAAGTTGTGATGTGGTTGCTAGGGGACAGCAGGCTCTGTTTGTATTGCTCTCTATAAAAGCTGTCTATTTCTCTTACTCTCTTTGTCTCAAATTACTACAATTAGACAAATTTACATGTTTTTGAATGTGTAGATGAATAAATATCTGACAATATTTGTCATAAAATGGAAGGTGCTGCTGGTTTTTTTTTTTTTTTAATGGAAACTACCCTCATCTTATTTTGTGATTAATCGTTTCAATGTGCAAAGATAATTGAGGGACATGGTAGATTCTTCTCTATTTACAAAATACTTCCTCACAAACCCAAGAGGTTGTGTTGTTTGTTTACAATGATGTGCTGCTTGATTTGTCTTAAACAGGTTTGTTTTAAGAATAAGTTGGCCACCTTATTGTGAATTTTCAGAAATGAAACATATTTAAAGCCAATCCTATATAGTAATGTTGATACAGCAATGTCAAGAAACATTGAAATTATTACGGTTTGCCAATATAATGTAGGGAAACATAAATAAGTCATTAATAACTTGAATGTGCTTACCAGTAGAATTTAAGAAGAATATTAGGCTGTGCCTATCAGTAACCTAAGATTTACTGCCTCAAGTACCCATTAGTATGATCTAGAATTACACAGAATCTTTGAAAATTTGACGGGTAAAAGGTCACTCTTACTACTGGTTTGAAAATGTCTTTTATTACCTGCCATGCTTAAAATAACGGTAAATACTAGCAGAGGGATCAGAAGCTGCAAGCAGAATGTAGGAAAAATAAGATGCTAGTCACTCAAAGGATTTAAACAGTTAGCTCTCATAGTGCCTCACTACTAGAAAAAGTTAATAATTTTGGTTTGACTTCCATCTAATCATTTTCTCTCTTTTTTGGGGGTATGTTTCCTGTCTACAGATTTAAAATGCCACCAATACGTAAACCAGAGCTGGATAAACTTGGGAATCAGTCGCGTCCATATCTGAGTAGATCTACTGGAGGATCAAGCTTCAGATCATCATATGACGAAAGTACCAGAATCAACTTGAGTAACAGTTGTTTTAGTGCAATCAGAACAGAGAAGGGAGACCCTGACGATGACTTAACAAGCCTTAACTGGCTGCAAAACAATGACATTTTGAAAGGCTTTGAAGTCTCAGCAACTGTGCCGCCTATGTCCCCACCCAGGGACAGCAATGGTGACATTCTTGAAACCCCTCCCCGAGGGGGACAGTCAAAAGGACCTCTTTCTCCAGACACTTTGGCAAATAAGCGGAAGAGTCCATCAAAGCCCCCTTATTCATTTTCTTCACTCATATTCATGGCCATAGAGGAAGCACCTTCAAAGAAGTTGCCCGTAAAAGATATATATAACTGGATTATGGATCATTTTCCTTACTTTCGGGATGCTAGACTTGGTTGGAAAAATTCAGTGCGCCACAACCTTTCACTGAACAAGTGCTTTAAGAAGGTGGATAAGGACAAAGGACAAGTGAGTAGTAAACGTATATTTTTTATCTTTCAATCTGTGACATTTCTCTTAGACAACCTGTTTGTGAACAGAATGAGAATTTAGAATGGAAGGCAAAGGTTTGTGCCTCTCCCCCTGGCTCATATCTTTGTACCCATCCCCACTGCAATTTCTCTCTGTCCCCCCTGGCCTATTTCTTTGTTTCCTTTTGAAACCAGCCATCTTTAAAATAACCATTTTCCTTTATCTGTCTTCCAAACATTGACATATTGGTAAAAAATGATGGAAAGTTGTTGTTTTGAGCATCATAAGGAACATGGTTTCTTCATGAAAGATTTTTAACATGTACCTTATTCAAATGATGTTAAATTTCATATAATCCTGAGTGAGACCAGGTCATCATAGTTACATTTAATGTAACTTCTTATTTCATGTAAGCGGAATGAGTGAATTTAGAATTTTTCCTTACAGTTTGAAGCTGTTTTAGTTCCAAGTTGTTGGTCTGATTTCTGTAATTCTTCACATGTACACCCTAAGATTAATATGCATTTTCTCCATACTGTTGTCTATACATTTCGTAAGGTGCTGACAAGGAAAATTTGTTTACTCATCAAAAGCTTCATCTTAAGTTGTTGATCATCTCCTTTATTCTCATGACCTCAATGGGTGATATTTTTATGAAATAGGTTGTGGTTCATTGTGGTAGCTGGATGATGGTATAAATTTGTTCTTTTGTCTCATGATGAAGTCACTAGATGTAGAGTGCAACGTTTCAACTGCTTACTGCAAGTCTTCTTCAGTTGTGTTCTACATATAGTGACTTTGTCGTGAGATAACAGAACAAATTAATTTTATATTATCATGGGTGATATTGTTGGGAGAAATTTTATGTCAATCACTCTTAGTGTCAAAGGGTTATTAACAAGTTGACGACCACCAATATGAATTTCGTGTCATAAATTGCAGGCTTTTCTGACTAACAAGAGTAGTTTTATCCACAGAATGTTGGTAAAGGTTCTCTGTGGACTGTTGACCCCGAGTATCGGCCAAACCTCCTTCAAGCTTTGAGGAAAACACCTGCTTTTCACCCCTATCATCACCTGCTAACCACACCTCCACCTTCGCCACAGAATGGGTCAGGAAGGTAAACATTATTTAAGGCAAGCTTTTCACTTACAGGTAGTGACTTAGTGGGAGTGCTGGCCTGGTAATATTTGGCTTGAAATTGTAACCAAAAGCCAACTATTTTCCAATCTGGCCCAACATAATGCCCATAAGCATTCATCATGTGATCACAGCCCTTTCTTTTTCCTCCCCCTCTCTTCCTAGCTTGCTTCAAGGTATAAGTGTAGGACTTTTATAGGCTCTGTTCACCCCATCCAATTTTTCTCTTATTGTCCCAGCTAGGCTGTTCAGGTTATATTTATGATAAATGGTTTTTATGTGATGAGGGTCATTTTGGCGGGGAGCAAGTGGAACAACACTTAAAGCAAGAATCTGAACCAAAAACACAAACCAAATTTTATGTGGATTCCAGCTTTCAAACCAGTTTTCACTTATGGGTGTGGCACTCTCTATCTATAGGCTCGTTCATGCTTCCCTAAACCCTTTACACCGTAACATCAGTATACATATTCTCCATACTGTTCTCTATACATTTCCTAAGATGCTGACAAGGAGAATTTGTTGAACAATCAAGAGCCTCTTCATTGGAAATCATTTCCTTCTTATTCTCACTTCCATACTGTTTGATTCAGGGGTGATTTTTCAAGAAGATATTAGATGCTGGTCACTTTAAGAGGGTTAATTTTAAGGCAATTTTTAGGCAATTAATTAGTTGATTTTTAGGCAAGAGGGTTAATTTTAAACATGAATAGATGGGTGATATTATACAGTTGTCATCTATAGGTGATGGAGGATCAGGTCTTTTGTCTCAAGTTCCTGTAATGAAGACTTGAATGTAGCTATGTGTATCTTTATGTATATTGCTTTTCAAAGAACCATTTGTTCTAAATCCTTTTTTCTTTGTTTTTCTCCTTTTCAACAGTTCACTTGGAAAACATAGTGGTAAGTAAGAAACTTTTACTTTTTCTTTCAGTTGAAAACCTCAAAAATAAAAAGAAAGGCCATCTGAATTGGTTATCTCCCCCATGTTGTTACAGTATCTCCAAAGAAGTTGTGGGAGTCATTATAACACTTGCCATAATATAATTGAAAGCTTATTTAGAAACAATGATTTTACACTTGCAGGTAAAATCGAAGTTGACCCAGATGCTGAGGCAGAAGCAGTGGCTACAATCTGCATGATTAGTACGCCTCCTGAAATACGAGTAGCAGAGAGTAAGTACATATTCTCCTCTAGTTTATGTTTATTAGATTCACCGACAGGCAGGGACACTGCAACAGCTTGCGCCAATTACTGCAGGCCCAGTAAACCCACCCATCCCACCCCAGGGGAGGACATCCACCACATAGTAATCTCGTGCATGGGAAATGAACATTTCCTACCCCTAATCCTGCAGGAGATTGGGCCCTACGGTCCCTATCAATGCCATAGAAATGTATAGAGAACAGTACGAGGAAGGTAGAAATTGATGTTAGGGTAGAAAGTGTTGAAACCTTCTTTTCATTTGACCTCATTGTGATTAGCTTGGTAGGAAAGAAACAAGGAAAAAAAAAAGCAAATTAAGTTGCAACACAGTAAATGGTTTGAACCCCGGGGGTAACATGTGAAAGTGTAGTGTGATCGTCCGGGTGAGTGTAGTCCTGAGAAGGACTGTTGTCGGTGGTGGTGAATGACGTTTCAACAACCTGTGTGGAAGTCATCATCATCAGAATCAAGAGTCATAAGTTGTAACTGGTGATGGTTTATTAATTATGCGTGTTTCCATGTTTCCAGTGGTACGATGCCAATCATGTCCTCCTTCAGAGACAGACAGAGAGGAGTTGTTAGTTAAACAAGCCAAAGAGTTCCTCTTCAGACACAGAGGTTCATTTTCTGGTTCTGTTTCTATGGCAAAGGATAGGACCTCGTCCTTACTCATTGATACCCACAGAAGGTGAGGTGGTCTGTTTTTTAAAAGTCCATACTGATATGTATTTCACTGTGAAACACCAACAGAATTTGAAGCTTTGTCAAAAGCCACACGTAGCTCAGTATCCCATGCACTCCTCTGACTGTTTAACTGTATACTTTTGTTTACTTTAAAAATGTCTCTTTTTAAGAAAGTGTTGTGTTTTTTTTTTTCTTTTCTTTTAAAGAAACAGTGTCAAAGCTGGTTTGTCTGCATCTCTCAGTAAAATTGATTCTGTAAAGCTGAGGAATGACATTTCACCCGATTCATCCCTTGATGGCGAGTTTGAATTTGATCACCATGATGATTCCGATGATGATGATGATAATGATGACAGCGAAATTGAGGAGACCATGGAGAAGGTTGTCAAGGATGAACTGAATGACAGACTAAGTGATAGTGGTTATGGTCAAGGACTTGAAGATGAGATAGAAGGGAAGAGAGCAGCCAGCAGGGACAGGCCTGCATCACGAAATAAACGAGGCCGCAGAGACAGTACTGCTGAAAAACTGAATGATATAGCTGGTGCTGATGCACTTCTGGAACTGGCGAACTCGGCTTTTGTGCCATCACCTCGTGTCGCCTCGGCCACACCTAGTCCTGTTCCAGAAGATTCCCCTACAGCTGTCAGCTAGTACTTGGCTAAAAGTCAAGTCTTGAACACATTGGAGGAATATTACAGATAGTCAGTTTACAGGTCAAATTACTGGTATATTGGTTTCCTGTTTGGATGAACTCTACAAGGATATAGTGGTGTACGCTTCAGTTGTACATACACCATAGACTGTATGTATGATATTGGTGCAGATGTGGAGCGACTGTGGACAGCTCAGATGAAACTGATTTCCCGTTCGTACCACAAATCAGTTGATCACAAATCAGTGAGTTGCTGTGAATTTTTATTTGCCTGAGTAGCAAATGGGGCAGCATGGTTGGTATACCAGAAATCATGCACATGGAAGGGTGTGCTGAATTTGCTAGCAGTGCAGTACTTAACCAAAGCTTAACAACTCAATATTGGGCTAGTTGTTCCTCTCCCAAAGTCTCTAAATCAAATTCTTTAAAAAATTAGGTACCTGGTACATTAATGTACTGTTTGTTATATTCTCGTCCTTGTGGCTTTTATTGATTAAGCTCGTTCAAGGGTTACGCATGCGTATAGCAATTTTCAATTGAGTGTCGAAAAGAATCCATGATTACTTTGGTTTTGCTTTACTTCGCTCTGTGATTGGTCCACAAAACTTGCGCTATCCTCACGACCAATCAGATTCGTAACTAGAGCCAACTTGGTCACTGGCGCAGTCCCGCGTTTCACGCGGGTTGCCCTGTTTTACTTGGAGTTCTGATTGGCTAATGAGGATGTTAACCTGCGCTCCGATTGGCTGCGTTGATTACTTTGGTTTGGTTTTTCAAATCTCAACTGAAAACTGCTCTTTTGTAAGAATGACAAACAGGGCCACATGAAAGCACTTCTGAACGGCTTTCATTCCGGTTTTGTCGAGACGTAATAGTTAGAACAGCTTTGTAGAAGGTGAGACGTAGTGCCACTTGAAAGTACTGCTCTTAACTTTTCCTTTGAATGGTCTCATAGTGAGGGTAATAGGTTAAAACCATCTTTTATCATATGACTGTGTCTCACAAGGACTGGGAACTACCGAATTGACGAATTTGATTGGCTGAAATCAATATTGAAAGCGGTCTAGATTTTCCCTTCTAGACCGGCATCTAGACCGGTCTAGAAAAAAAAGGTACAAAGAATATAAAAAATTGGCATATAAGACGCAGGCATATAATAAACATCTTTAATAAGCATCTATAATAAATCATCTATAATAAACATCTAGGTCGGTCTGTATGGGAGAATCTTGACCTCGGTCGCTTGTACAGACCTCACTGCATTCGGTCTGTACTGGCGACCTCGGTCAAGATTCACCCATACAGACCTCCCGCTCGTTTAATAAGAACTAAGTACAGCATGTTAAACAGTGCAAAGGAAAGAGAAATATTCAAAGAATTTTATTTAGGTTTAGCACATTAGCTGACGGGATAGGTTTTGTAGACAAGGTCCCTTTAATTGAAGGATGTCCAGGGTTTAAGCATTGATTTGGGCCAAAAGAAAAATTGCATCGCAAGGAAAAGTTGGATACAAAGTTTTTCAAGGAGTTTTTTATTTGATTCTTAAATGTTAGGTATAGAATAACATGCATATGGCAATAATCTTTGAAATAAGAGCTGTGGTAGCTGAAAGTCCACATGGAAAAAATTATCATGACAAGCAAAAAAAAAGATTAATGATAGTAGCGAGTAGGGTGAAATGCTAACCTCAGGAGGTTTTCAAGGGAGATTTTGCGACAGTCATACTTTTAATTCTAGTTTTGTTACTTATTCTTAATTAGGTTGAGGTGAACAGAAAAACATTCCAGCTCAGAGAAAAACTGAAAAACCAAAAAAATATGTAGCAAGGGTTAATTTTATAAACAAAGAGTACAAAGCGGTTGTGGAAATATCAAAGTCGATACTTCTTTTTTAGAACTAAAGTTATCAATTTTGGAATTTACGATCACAAGGAAAACCGTGGGTTATATCCCTGATAGAGAATTACGTTGGACATGTAAATATTTCATGGTGCCCTGTGGACATATTTAATAATGGATAAATCTAAGTGATTCGTTATGGAACAATCGTCCTTTAGTTCAGATTTTTTTTAGTATCTATATTTCTCACAATCTGTGCTAATTTAAATTGAATGTATGAAATGATATGCAACCAAAGATGGTTTAAGAGAAGTTCTAAAGACATTGTATTCATTGAATGATTGGCCATCTCAGCTGGGTCAAAGTTCATGGGAGAAGAATTTTAGCATCGTTCGTTGGCCAAGATCATGTGTCCCTTTAAAGAAGGGGCACGCAGGATAAAAATTATGGTGCATGTTCTTTAGCTTAGACAGATCGACTCTATGTTTCAAGTCTGTTGTATGCGTGGCTGGAAACAAGACTGATGAAACCACGATAACTTTTCCATTCGTCAGGAATTTTAGGCTGAAATTATAAGTTTGCATATTCTCTGAAGAACACTCACAGCAAGAGGTCATTTCTCTGAGTACAGCTGTCTTAAACTTCTATAAACACTTTTTTCGTTTTAAGAACACAGATGTAAAGTAAATTTATTTCAAAAAATGTATACCCAATGTCATAAAACTTCTGAAAATTCAGGTGTAGGTTCGATCCATTCGTCTTGCAGCCTACTTTCGGACAGTCCTCGGTATCTTTCGCTAATATTCGGAAATTTCCGTCCCACGGATTTCACTGATTTTGAATTTCCACAGTCGTAGGACGTTTTAGTCTTGAGCGGTTGTCTTATCGGTGTAAAGCGTCATCCCAAGATGCAGTGACGTAATTTCTCTTTTTGTTAGTCAGCCCTCGGCCGCTCATATTTGCAGTTCTTAGTTGAAGAATTATTTTTGGAGCTCTATTTTGGTAATTACATGAAAAAAAATATCTTTTAGAATCATTAGATGCCGTTTTCGCATACGTATCGGTGAATTTCCAGAACCACATGTAGGAATCAGCAATCATTCGTATTTTATATAAGAACAAAGTTTATTACCATGAAGTAAGAATTTAATCCAATTAAGTATTCAGATGGACGTTTAATGGTAGGATGGGCGATCTTCTAGTCGATAGGCATCAAGGGAAAAAATGATTATCAACTTGTAGTTTCTGTTGATTAGATTGATGTAAATAAAGTTAAAGTTACGGTCCTGTTAGTTGTGTTTACACCTTTTCTTTCACGCTAACATCAGTCTGCATATTCTCCATACTGCCCTTTATACATTTCCCATGGTGCTGACAAGGAGAATTTGTTTAACTTGTTTGTAAGTTTTGTACGGGAATGATCTTACCCGATGTTGACCCATTTTTGGCCCGAGAAAGTACTCCTTTTATTTCCTGAGAGAAAAATTATACCCTCAAACATGAAACGAAGAAAAAAAAATAGGACAAACCGATGTCTTTTCTATTCTAGAGCGTTTCTCTGAAGGGTTTTATAAAATGTTAAAAATATATATATATCGTGAATAACTCATCCAGTTGTCCTACTCTTTAAGACAACAACCCTTGAAATAACCCCCCTCCCCTATTAAAGTACTTGCCCAACGCCCCTCCCTTCCCCCCTCATTCGGAAACATCTCCACTGAAAAACCAATGATATTACGCGAGGGATTCGAAGAAGCGCTCGCTTCGATCTTCAAATTTTCCCCGTAGTCCCTCGCGCTTTGCATCGACACCAGTCGATTGACATGTTACATCTGATTGAAGGTTACTTGTAACTAACAAGAAACAAAACGAAAGTAAAAAGGAAAAGAGGAGTGGACGCCGAATAAGAATTTTAATTTAAACAGCAGAAAAGAGGAAAGACAGTGACTGTATCTAACAAGAAACAAAACGAAAGTAAAAAGGTTACGAGGAGTGGACGTCGAATAAGAATTCATATTTAAACAGCAGAAAAGAAAAAAGACGGTGATTTTTTAAACTGCATCTGCTTTGGCTGGAAGAGCGCTATGATTGGCTAATGCTATAATTGAATAGCAATCAAATCCTTCAAAGGAAGGATCTCAGACTGCGTAATTACAAGCAATTTAATTGACGAAGGGCAACTCAAATTTTTAATGCCCTTTTTATTTTAAAATACATCAGATGTTTTTTAATCAACGTTTGCCAACCTCTCGACAGTTTTTTTTTTCAACTAACCACTTCTTCCTTCTCTCTTAAAAATCCAACCGCTAGTATTTTTCTCTACCTTTGACATAGCTGGTTTTCCTTCCAATTTGATGAGGGATTGTCAGTTTTTGCGACCAGAACATATCTGTAAAAAAGTCACACACGAAACATAAAATGTACATATTTTGTGATTAAATCTGCTCTATTTCGACGTTTCTATTTACACAAAATTATCTTGTTTATTTTTTTAAAATTTCCAGAGAAATATTCGAAGACAGCGTACAATGAATTCGAAGGCAGCTACATGCTATTCAGAATCGTCTGTAATGTACAGTAGAATAGTAGTCTGATTAAATGACTTCACTTCATCGAAATGGCGACATAACAACCGTTTATTTTCTCGCCAGCTAACCATAACAGAAAAAAAAATAATAAGTGAGCGAAGTAGTACCTTGAAGAGGTTATATGAAAATACTTTTCCTTTGCGTTTAAGAGCTAGTCTGTAATAAGAGTACCCTTTTCAAGTTCAATAAATGATTTTTCTGTGAATGCGCAAGTTACAAGGTGAACGAAATTCGTCAGTATACTGATGTGAAAATAAAAAAGGTTACTTTCCTCCTAGAGAAGCCTCAGCTCGGAAGTTTCTTGTTTCTTGTCGTGGAACACAATTGGATAGAACCTGTTTCCTTTCGATTGCGCGCCGCTTTCTTGTTTGGTCAGATCATGAAATCGTTCTTCGTTCGTTTTTCTCTCGGCTGCGGCACTGGCTTTCTTTTGCTCCTTGAGTCGATATCTCTTTCGGCAACACATCCACACATAGAAATACGCAAGAAAACAGAAAAACACCACTGCAGCGACCAAGAAAAAAATGATGAAAGCCAAAGGCGCGCGGTGAAAGAACATTTTGACCGCCCGGTGATTTTCAGCTAGGACAACGATGGTGTTTTCTTAGTTCTTCGCTCGGCAGGGAGAAAACCATAACATCAAGTAATTCAACTGAAGATGAAAGCAGGTGTTTCGTGTCGAAATTTGTTGCAAATACAAAGTATTGACCGTAAGTAATAGTGACTTGAAATTGCATTTATCAACCGAAGTAGAACTCTTTATGTAATTCTTTTGAGTTCAGCGGAAACTCTTTCCCTGAAGTAACAATCATTTCTGACGTATATACACAGGATGATAGACTCTTTGTGATATCGCTGTATAACACAAAACCAATTTAAGTACATCTTTTGTGTTTGTTCCGTCCATACGTCATTGAAAACCATTTCAGAAATCTCCTCATCCAATGAAGATCCCAGCAAATTCACAGCGCAAATTCGAAGTGCGAAATCAAACGGCAGAGCAATTTGTTGTAGATTTATCATTTGCTACCATGAAGTAGCTTAGTAAACCTAACAAAGAATGCCCTTGATCGATATTGAAACAAGAATTGTTTGATTTTTGTTGTCTTGTAGGAAAATCGCACCGGCAAAGATAACCTATTATGTATCAGATCTACATAGATTTGAAATATCTACCTGTTCAAAATCAAAACTTTGGCAACAGCACAACCGCTTTTAGCCACTTGAAGTCATGACAAACATAAAATATGAAATCATATTAGTAAAACATTGACCTGGAAATTTTTCAATTAAAAAAAAAAAATAGTGAGGCAGTTATACTGGTTAGAGAAGATCTATGAACGTCCAAACAGGTTTGGTAATAAAAATATCAACACACCACCGATTTTAAATCTTAAATAGTGAATACATAACAGGACATCCTCTCGGCGCAAATGATGAGCTCACGAGATGTTCAGTCCAATTTTATCTTTCCAGTTAAATGCGGTTTTTCAGAGTAATATTTCGTGTTAAATAAGCAACCTGCATAAAGACGAAAATTTGGAAAAATGACCACGGCTCAAAGGGCTATAAATTCAGCTGAAATTTTACAAACGCCCAGGTTTAAAAGAAAACCCTTCCTTCCTGTTAAAAGGTTTTACGAACTAACCAGATGGCGCTCAAGAAGTGCGCTAAAACTGCATAAAAAAAATACGGGAAAAATTCCATTTTCAAGTGATTAATCCGCACCGTTTTATTTTTTCATCTATTTTGCTAATCGCGTATCTTACAATTCAACTTCAAAAACGTGACTCTTTACTGTGAATATTTACAAAGGAGAATCCGCCATGATTAGTTCTATCTACAAAGTTCAATGTACGCTCAAAGATTAAAATAAAACTCAAGAGCGCAACTAGAAAACGTGAACTAAAATGATTTCACAAAAATACTTTTTTAAAAATGGCAGATTTTTCAATTTCTATATCTTAATCGAGGGACCTTACACTTAAGTTAAACGAGTAACATTCCATCTTTATGTCAAGTGGTAATCTAATGTTTAAATGTAATAGTATTATTATATTAAGCATCAGTACGTTTTCCCAAACTGTTCGAAAATGGGAATCGGTGATGCCACTGTTTGAAATCTCTGCCAAGAAAAGAAAACATATATATTAATCATTATTTATCCCAAGAGCTGTTAATTAACTTCTGCTCGTTTAACACAGTCATCTAGAAAGTACCTTCAAGGGTTAGAAATAAATTAAAGACACATTCCGTTTACGTTTGAGAGATAGTTATATCATACACCAATCCATAAGGCACAAATAATTTCTTGCAGTAACTAAGAGACCACAAATCGAAATCACAAGACATAGTTGCAAAGTAGGAACTGTGTTGTTCTCACCGAAGGCGTAATATGTCTGTCTATGTTTTCTTCTCTGAAATGCTTAGTTCCATAGGGAAGACTAAAAGAAATAAGACAAAAACGTTGAAAATTGTGATACAAAATAAAATTTTAAACTAAGTGATGTGCGGGTGTTGCTGCTTACCAGATCAACATGAAATTGGTTAAGTTGGCTTCCTTTTCTCCGCTCTGTGATTGGACTAAAAAACTCGCGCCATTTTTTCAATTAATTAGAGGTAAACTTGAACCAGACGCGTGGTGGTGATACACGTTTTCCCACGCTTAAGAATCTTTTATTTCGCGAGTTCTCATTGGCTCATTCGAATATTTTACCTTAAATCTGATTGGTTGTTCTCATACCAAACTCACCTTCCATATTGTGACGTTGTGTGTAGTAGAGGATCATATGGTCGCTCGCGATGAGTAAATGGAACAAACCTGAAACGATCAGGAGATCAACATGTAACTTCTCCCTCTAAATCAAAACACTGGTCAGAAGACAGGTAGTGAGAATTATGAAAATAACCATGGAAGACTCGACACAATACATTATGATACAACAAAATTCTAAGAACTAAAATCTAATAAATGTGTGAGATTAAGGAGAATTACACGGAGATCTCAAAGGTCACCTCGTGGTGAGTTCACCAAACCTTGAGGAGATGATGAACAGTACACCCAACAAGATCAATGGAAATTGAGTCCAACGAAGAGTCAAGAGAAGGAAAGTTCCTGGGCGTCCTGTGACATAAGTCCATGTAAGAAGTAGATTGAAGAGATGGCGATTAATTGAATCTCCTTCATTGTATGATTACAGATGGAACTGTCAGCTGTGAAAAGATTTCTCAGAGGAAAGACAACTGATGATGCTCACATTTCAAGGAAAGATTTTGTTGAACTGGAAGCTTCTTTGCCAGACTAGATTCTAGCAGCAAGTGTCATTTCGATTCTGTAGTGTGAAATATGGAGGTCTCTTCTATTCAATAAGGAAAGAAATCTGACCTGTTCTAATGAAGGAGTTCACGAATGGGAATGATTAAATGAAAGTAATTTCACAGAGAACGTGAAAGGTAAGATCGAGTCTGTTCTCGAGTTAGGTGGCCCATTTAGCCGGTGTTGATCTCGGTTCCAGGATTTCATAAGGAAATTGAATATTATTTGGAGTAGTTTTCAATCAAGCGTCGAAAGAAATCCATCAGTGTAAAGTAAATAACTTCGGTTTTGCTTTACGCAACAGTTGGTCCAGAAAAAAAGCATGCCACCCTATCCACCAATCAGATGCAAGTAACTTGAACCAAGCACGATTTGGACACAAGCGTTTTCCCGCGCTTTAGACAGTTTGCCTGTTTTGTTTTTGTTTTTTTTCTTTCATTGACTGAATGTGATATTTTTCTCCCTCTAATTGGTTGTTGGGATTGTTAGTGCTGCAATACCCCAGTTTTAAGCGGAAGAATGGCAAAGGCAAAAGCAGCGTTCTAGCATCAGTCAACAGAGGAAAGAATGAAAGATTACAGAACATTTTTTAAAAACTGGATACAAAGGAGTCCAAGTGTTTGTCAAAGATAACCAGAGAACTCAGTGAAAAACCTTAAGAGACTGAGCCGATTTTAACAACATGAGGCTCTTTCTGGAGTATCATGATACAAAGCAGTGTTTCTGACATTACTTAATCATCCATAAGCTTCATTTGGTAACACAACGTTCAAACGTCAGGCATACGTAAGGGGATACATTCTGGCCGGCCGCACGCCAATTTCCCGCGCAAAATTCCAAAGGAGAACTTTTGGAACAACCGCTGTTACACAAAATATGCAAAAGAAAAACGAAATGTTAAACAGAATCCGTAAACGGAAAGAAAAGTAGAGAAAAGGAAAACTCAGAACTTTTCAACCACAAAGCTAATCCGCTGATCTTCCTTTTTGTTCAGTTTGAGCTTTATCAAAAATGTCACACGGTTTCAAACACCATGACTTACTCGTTCGTGTGGTTTTTATAACTCTTGTAAGACAACTTGGTTCTGTGACAGCCAGAAAGCACGCCACCGCTACTACAACGTTTGCACATGCACAGACATTTGACCACTGTGTTTACACTTTATAACTACAGTGAGTCGAGGAAGTTAGGTAACCAACATTTGATATGGTACTTGTCAAATCAGTAAATAGAAAACATACATAGTAACAGATGTGAAAGAATGCAAGAAAGATCCAAGCAATAAATGATCTTTTTACACGACTCGGGCAGTCAGAGGGCCAATAACTAAAATCAACCAATCAAAATGCTCTATGGCCGTTCCAATATTCTCTAAGTATTGGACCGGGCACTGTCCCGAATGGTCCCGAATGATACCGCACTTGTGTCCCTTTGAACTTCAGTCGTATAATAAATCTCT